TTTGAATCTACTGAAAAATAAGATGAACCAAAAATTAACCAAACTTACCAATTTTATCCCCCTTTTTTTTTTCTTTTAAGAAAATGAATGGCCAAACACACATTAAAATCAGTGCACCATTCACAATGTTGCGTAAAATCATTGTAAATTTATTTTAAATATTCAGTATAGCACCAAGCCTTAATTGACTCTTGTGAAGACTGTCTTAAGTCACAGTAGCATTTGGAAAAACTGTCACCATTAATAGGACACATTGACTTGTGAAATATTGATGCCACTTGCTTTGTCCAAAAACACCTCAGATGGCTTAAATTACGGCTAAGAAAACTTCAATTCTAACTGAATTTATGACTGGGTAGTTAATATTCAAATATATCGATTGACTCGGGTCAATATCTCCAAGGACAAGCTCCCCAAGACTTGCGTCTTTTCTTTTTCTTCAATTGTAATTTTTGGGTGAACTAATAGTCTACACAGATCCATTTACAAGCAAACTTGACATTCAAACCGTTTCCAGGTAAACAGCATCATGTGTAACATATGATGTAGAGATTCAGAGAGATAGAAAGAGACTGTTATTCATTTCTGTTTCAGGGGTGAAAAGAAGATTCTCCATAGCACACCAGGTCAATATCTCCAAGGACAAGCTCCCCAAGACTTGCGTCTTTTCTACAATCCATTAAAATCTAATCTGCTTCACTGAAAAGAACACTTCTCCTCAAAGTCTGTGAGCCGTGCACTGAAAATGGCCACTCTTTCCTCAGGGAACAGAGGTGTGTTTCTCATGCAGGTGCCCAACAAGTGAAATATTGCACATGGTAACATGGATTTTGATTTAATTTTTTCCTACTTAGCTCGTCGTGCCGCATTACAGTATTGTACAGTATACAGTATACACACTGCAGTGACCTTTTTCATGGAAAGTATGCAGTACTGAATTTGGACATGCAAAAATATTGCTGCCTACTATTTGGAACAACTTTTTAGATTAATTTGTATTGTTTTATTTATTTATTTATTTTAGAGAAAGTTCCTATGATACCTATACTGGAAGCTTACTAGATTTTGTAACACAGCCATGCATGTACTTTTAATGGAATAGTAATTAAATAGCTTACTAGTTAATCTCTGTGACAGAGAAAATAATTTCTACTCATCCCTGAATTTTTAAAAACAAGTAAATATATATTTTTAATGTCTCACTATCATGTTCCACAGAAGAAAGAATGAGGGTGAGTAAATGAAGACAGAATTGTAATTTTGAGGGTGAGTAAATAAAGACAGAATTGTAATTTTTGGGTGAACTAATAGTCTACACAGATCCATTTACAAGCAAACTTGACATTCAAACCGTTTCCAGGTAAACAGCATCATGTGTAACATATGATGTAGAGATTCAGAGAGATAGAAAGAGACTGTTATTCATTTCTGTTTCAGGGGTGAAAAGAAGATTCTCCATAGCACACCAGGAAAAACCTGCCCGACCATCATCTGATATTATTCTGAAACATGTTATAGGGCTATGAAATACGATGACTGGGAGCACTTGATGGAGCAGACGGAAAAAAAATAGAAGGCAACGTGTTCCTTCAGCACAGTAATGGCATCGTGAGATATTGTCTCTTGCTGTGTAAAGTAGTTTTTTTTTTTTTTCTCCGCTTTAGGCGGCTTTCAGGTTGTTGATCTCTGTAATTCGTTTTGAAAATCACTAGGTCTATGAGACTGCAGCCTCACAGATGGTTGGATTAGCTATTTCGTTCTGATCTCCAACAGCCATAACCACTTTTGTTAACTGAAAGGAAAGGGCCGGAGAGAACCCGAACCTTTTCAGCTAGATATTATTTTTAGGAAGATTATTTTACAAATGATCACACCGCATATTATCACCGTTATTCATCCTCACATCATCCCTAGCTTGATTTTGATCTGACTGTGAAGATGTCATGCTTTTGGTCATTTACACTTCTGCTAAATAAATTGGGCATTTTTTTGAAGCTATCTAGCAGTTTTCAGGTCGGTAGCAGTATTCAAGCACTGTAGTCTTAACCCAGATCTCTGCTCCTGCTGTTTCCCAGTTCTGCAGCTAATACGGTTGGGCGAACAGCAGAATATGTTGCCACCATCCATGCACATGTGCACAGCACTGACAGGTTTGAGTAAGTGAGTCACCAGCTGCGTCAGCAAGCATCTGTGTGATATGATGCTGACATGACTGTGAGGGTCACCTCAAGACCTAAAAATCTGGATTCCTGGAAAGTTTATGCATAGGTTAAATGGTCCTAAGACGAGAAATAAGTTCAGCACTGAATATCTACCTATTTTATTTTCTCTTACTTTAGATATCATTTTTCCTTTCCTTTCCTTTCCTTTCCTTTCCTTTCCTTTCCTTTCCAATATGTTTGCCAAAGGATTGTTCCTCATATTATTAGTCATATGAATATCGTCCTTACAAAAGCAAGGGCAGACAGTATGTGTGAATGCAACATTCGTGCAGCCTCTGTGAGAGGATATGCATTAATAAGCTCACTCTGTAGTCTGCTGAATTAGTATGCAGCACTGCTGTCTGTCCAGAGTCTAGTGCCAAAACCCTCGAACTCACCAGCCACAAGATAGCATGTGTGAAATGCATTAACTTCACTTTAATTGCTCAACCTTCCCACCTCATCGTTAATGTATGCTCAGCAAGTAGAGGTTAGCTTTCCAGCAGTACCTTACCTAGAATTTGACTGTTTAAAACTCCATGTCATTTCCATGTCAGTACCACTCGTCTTAGTATTCAATTCATATAGTGTAGCATCTTTATGAAATTTACCCCCAGGAGCATATATGTTTCTACATGTAGCTAGCTACAGATGCAAATGACCAAAAATCTCAAGAAAGTACTTTGTAAAATTGTTTAATGTAACACATATTTTGAAATACACGCTACTTTGGTAACACTTTATTTTAAGGTGTCCTTGTTACAAGTTACATGTACTTACTATTGTAATAACAATAAATTATGCATAATTACATGCAAGTAACCCTAGACCAAACCCTAATCCTAACCCTACCCATATAGTAAGTACATGTAGTTCATTAATATTACTCAGTACTTAAATGTACAGTATAATTGCACTGTAACACGGACACCTTAAAATAAAGTGTAACCGCTACTTTATTAGGTGCCTGTTCAACTGCTTGTTAACGCAAATATCTAATAAGACATATCACATGGCAGCAATCACATTGGAATTGGCATGGTTGTTGGTGCCAGAAGGACTGGTCTGAGTATTTCAGGAACTGCTGATCTCCTGAGATTTTTATGGACAACCATCTCTCGGGTTTACAGAGAATGGTCTGAAAAGCAGTTCTGTGCCTTGTTGATATCAGAGGTTAGAGGAGAATGGCCAGATTGGTTTGAGCTGATAGAAAGGCAACAATAACTCAAATAACCACTCACTACAACCAAGGTATGCTGTATCTCTGAATGTACAGCACGTTGAACCTTGAAGCAGATGGGCTACAGCAGCGGAAGAATTCATTTGGTGCCACTCCTGTCAGCTAAGAACAGGAAACTGAGGATTCTCACTGGCTCACCAAAACTGGACAACAGAAGATTTGAAAAAGGTTGCCTGGTCTAATGAGTCTAATTTTCTGCTGTGGCATTCAGATGGTAGGGTCAGAATTTGGTGTAAAATCTGTTAAGAAAATCAGTGGTTCAGGCTGGTGGTGTTGGTGTAATGGTGTGGAGGGTATTTTTCTGGCACACTTTGGGCCCCTTAGTGCCAACTGAAACTCAGACTGGTTTCTTGAACACGACAATGAGTTCACTATGCTCAAATGGCCTCCAGATCGCATTCCAGAGCACCTTTGGGATGTAGTAGAACATAAGATTTGCACCATGGATTAGCAGCCTATAAATCTGCTGCAACTGTGTGATGCTACCATGGCAGTTATGCATCAAAATCCCCCAGGAATGTTCTGAGCACCTTGCTGAATCTATGCAATGAATAATTAAGCTAGTTCTGAGAGCAGAAGGGGGTCCTACTCGGTATTAGTAAGGTTTACCTAATGAAGTGGCCAGTGAGTGTATATCCAATGTAATACATTAACAAGATCTTTAAAAAGACAGGCACATGATTCAGCTCATGTGGTATGACAGCAGGGGATGAGACTGAGTGAACATGCAGATAGATGGATCCAGAATACTAGACAATCATATAATATGAGTTTGTTAGTAATATAAAGGATACATTATACCAGCGGGAACTACGGGAACAATGGCCACATCTGGCTCTTTGGCAAAAATCAAGTGGCTTGCCAGGTCTCTCACCCTTTACCAAGAAATTATCTATAAAAACAATTTGACATCACTAGAGTTCAGTCTTTCAGTGGGCAGGACTGTTTGAAATTATTAACAACTTAATGATGAAACATGGATGAATGAGAAAGTAAAGAGCAGGATGTGCTTGAAATTAAAAATAAATATTTAAAGCACAATAAACCTCAAAAGATAAATTTAGCACTTGACCATTTAGGCGTGTGTATTCATATACTACTGACAGGAGGCTTTCTGTGCAAGTGCTCCGACTGGAACATGGAAAAGTGTAGGTTGCATGCCTAAATGGTCATATATGCACAGAAATATAATTGGATGTATAGTAATATATAATAAAATATATAGCAAATTTATTTTAAACAAGCTTCATGAACAAAAAAGCTTCATGAACACAACAACAACACAGAACAGTCCGTAAAAGCCCATAAAAAACGAAAACAGAACAGATCTGTGACATGTACATACACTAAAAAAAATGAAATGTGGCTGTTGTTGGTCCAAAGAATGTAACTACGTTTAAATTAAATAATTCCCTTACGTTTGTGTATTAAAATTAAAGGAGTTGTGTTGACCAAATTAGAAAAAGTAATATTTCAAATTTACACAGTTCACTTAAGTAAAGTGAATGAAATGGAGTTGAGTTGCTTCTGCAGTACCGCACTTTGGTCAGCAGGTGGAGTAATATCTGCACATGCGCAGATGTACAGCACATTCAAAGCTCACTCTTCAGCGATCGGTGCCATTTTTGAATCAGATGAAGATCACAGTGCCAAACGAGGAACGTTTTCTTTGTGGAAACACAGGTGAGATATTTTACTTTTTATGCATATATATTGAGGCTGTCATTTTATTAGAATGGTTAATCGCGCATAATCTCATGTTTTGTATGGGATTTTCATGAAGACACTTAAATAAGCTTGTTTGTTAGGTCATTCAACACATACTAAAGTTTAGGAGTTGGCAGTGTTTTATATTATTATTATTATTATTATTATTATTATTATTATTATTATTATTATTATTATTATTATTATTATTATTATTATTATTATTATTATTATTATTATTATTATTATTATTATTATTATTATTATTATTATTATTATTATTATTATTATTATTATTATTATTATTATTATTATTATTATTATTATTATTATTATTATTATTATTATTATTATTAGGTGACTCACACCTTTTTTTCCAACCTCACAGAGTTTTATAGTCCTACATGTGGCTGTGCAGAGATTGTGGTTCCTCTCACACATCCAGATCAAATCCAGCACTCTTTATAGAGCAAGAGGTAAGTTAAGTCTTTGTAATGTCAGCTGTGATGAATTACTTGGATATTTTTGTAATTCTAAATTATGTATTGAAGTTTAGATGTAATTCAGATTTGTGTTCATTTGTAATAATTTTGTATGTAATCTGTAAGTGCTGGTAAAGGAATACTATGATTGTTGGTGTATAATATTATTTTAAGGTTTGTCCCAAATTTATCAGCAGCCAACCTGATTTGTCCTTTTAAAACTGTATTAGGTATCTGTGAAATTCAGTTGGATTACAACAATCCCTTTGGTCTCCAAATATATGGGACTGCTTGATAATTTCTCAAACCAAAGAAAGGAGCAGCAGCAGCACAGAAGATCACAAACATCCTGTCAGTTATGGCTCAGGTATGTTATCTACATTCATTGTCATTTTAAATATGACAATAATTCATAATAGGTTAAAATAATATTTAACCCAAAGATGAAAATTCGGAAAATTCAGATGAAAACCTCTTACATCGTTTTTTTTTTTTGCCTGAACTAAAATTATGCATTTTGACCAATTTGTCCTGCTCTTTTTTTTTTGTGTACACAATAAAAGTCAATGGTGAATTCCTGTTCTGAATCTTCAAATGTAACATGTAATTGTTTGATGCTTTTGAAGCTTCAGAAGAGAAACTCACCCTTGACGTTGACATAAAAAAGTTAAGTAAGGCCAACATATAATTTTTTTGAGTGTAAATAAGTATGTGTAGTAAAAGAAAAGTTACATTTTAAACAAATAAATAAATAAAGAAATAAAATACAGACTAACTTTCTGTGCAAGATTTTATTGAAAAACATAATGGATTTAAAATGGGCACTATTCTCAAACTTTTTGAAGCACATTTTGTGCATAAATAAAGACACAGGACTACAATACTGCATTTAACATTGCCCTGTTGCATCACCAGTATTAGTTAATATATGGTTCCAAAATACATTTTTGCTTCCATTTATTTATGATGGATCGCCAGAAAGGTGCTAAAAATATCGTAAAGACATAACAAAAACAACGGAGTGTGTATTAGATCTAAAAGCATGATGTGTTATATAACTGTTTATTTTTAGATTACTGAATGTAATTAGTGGCATAGAGGCATGTTTTTACTGACAGGTTGAGTAAAGGCTCAAAAACAACAGCTAATTAAGTGCTTTCCTGTGGATTAGACCTCAGTCAGCAAGAAGAAGATATTTGTAAGAGGAAGTTGCTGCGAAGAACTGGCTTCAATCATATGAATTGCTCAAATCTAAATGCAGAGATAGTAAATGACATGCTAAGGAGGTTGACCCTTGTATCGGCCAACTGAACTTCATGCAGAGTTAAATATTCTTGTTCCATATTCATAGATGTCACTGGCATACATACAGGTGCATCTCAATAAATTAAAATGTCGTGGAAAAGTTCATTTATTTCAGTAATTCAACTCAAATTGTGAAACTCGTGTATTAAATCATCTCAATTCCTTGCATCATTTTTTTGAAAGACCTCTTTGCAGCTTTGGAAACATGCATAAAATATAGTCTGTAACATACTCCAGGGAACCTTTTGTACTTTTATTGGCAAGAGCCATTCAAAGTAATGCATGAAGTATTTTCTTAACATGTCAGGTTGAGTCTTCTTTTTGGGTAACTCTATGCTTAGAAACTTAGAATATCTAACATAAGAAGTCAGATAATTTTGTATGTAAACATACAAAATGATCTGAATTACAAAAAAAATATATTTCTGAATTACAGTTTCCAAATTGGCAATGACACCTATTAAATCTGGAAAAAAAAAAAAAAAAAAAAAAAAAAAGAATTATATATATATATATTGTAATTGGGGAAAAAGCTTGACAACATTATTTGGGGACAGCAGTTATGTGATAAAAATGTATACATAAATACCATTATGGATTCTTATATATATATCCTTTAAAATTATTCTATGGAACAGAAGTCAAAGAATTGACCATTTACCCAGTGAAATATGCAGTTTTCTCATTGTTTTGTGCTTCACTATCCAAATAAGTAAAAGTGAATGGTAGCTTGTCCTCCTAGAGGAACTGTTAATTGATAATTTTTTTCTTATGCAATGGAAAACTGAATAGTGTCCTTGGAGAACATACATTTACCATATCGTTTGTTCCACTGAATTTCCATGTTTTTTGCTTTATGTACAACTACTTTGTTTTATATGTTGATTTTATTTTAAAGTTAACAAGCCACAACTCTTAACTGAAGTATTTGGTATAATTAAACATCACGCTGCATTTTGATGGTCACAAAACAAATATGGCCTAATAAAGGTATAAAATGCCCCTGAAAACAATTTCACTGGGCAAATTTACATTTACATTCTTAGCAGTAATTTTCTGTTAGGACACCTACTGGTATTTCTCCTATTTCTGCTGACCCTCTCCTCCCTCATACGTTACTTACTCCAACCACCTCAGCTCGGAGTGTGGCTAAATCATTTCTAAACTTCAGTGAAGACAGTCTGACTTTGACAGGCTTCCATGCAGCTCTAGTTATTGGTCTGTTTATCTTCAGAGAGGCCTAAGAGTTCTAAGCCCATCAATACAAAGTCATCAGCGAGAGCTGGGGTAAAGAGAGACCTTGGAGGAGCATCTCTGTCTGCAGTTGTTTTTCTTCTATTATTTTTTTTTTCTAGAATTATAGCTACGATGAGGCAGAAATACAGTGTAATGACTCAACACTTCATCTCCTTAACAACCCAGATAAGTAAAATCAACTCGCCGCTCAAAGCAAAGACCCATTTTTACTCTGCAAATGCCAGTCTCTAGGTTTATGAATGTAACCTATTCAGTGTTCTCATACCATTTAAAAGAATATAACACTATTTAGCCACACTTTAAACACTAAAAAGTAAATACACATATTTTAGAGCTTCAGGTTACTAGGTCTAAACTGACCTAGAAAAAATATTATAATGTTAGGTAACAGGAAAAAAAAAAAGGCATTCACTATGGGGCATTTTTGTCCTCTAGATTTTAAATATCTGGGACATTTTTTGCCCTAAGCCTTGGTTAATTTCTGACCCTGATTTGAAAATGTTTGAACTTGTGACACAAATGCATTTTGTTTGGATATGTGTGTTCTAACAGATCAGTCAAGACTTCTTTTGTTGTTTTATCTAATCCTACTTTACCTTGAATACTTACCCTGACACAGCAATTACCATCATGGACCGATGAACACAATTAAAGTGCTATTTGGTTAATTAGTTCTTGTTGCTCGGCGAAACACACAGAAGCGTCACTGGGACAATGTTGAGATGTTATGCTTATCCCGTCTAGTGGAGCAGTCCAAATTTTGGTTATGTGCCACGATGACCTGTTGGCAGCAGACTGGACTGGGGTCGATAAATAAAATTAATGCAATGTTGATTTGTTGCTTTACTGAACACTGGATTGAAATTCAAATAAAAACCTTTAATGTCATGCATCAATTGTGTCGAGCACTTGGCATTCGTATGCATTAGCTGGCACTGAAAAATACGTTTAGTTTGTATCTATGAAAAATCGATGCTCTGAGAGAATGCCGACAGTGTTTTGGCAGTACATTAAAAGACTTTGAAAGGAATCACTATCATGTATCCAAGATCTTCCTGTGCCATTTGGATGTAAAGCGTTGATAATAAATGCCTCCAACATACCAGCATCATGGGAGAGTGTCAGTAAACTATTTTCTTTGAGGTTTTAGGAAATATGATAACTTTGAGCATATTTTTCAACTTAAAATGAAAGAAATAATTCAAAAGAGAGATGGGTATAGTTAACTCTCAGATTAGATCAAAGCTTGTGGTGTTTTCGTTTATATACCATCTGTGTCATATTCATGCTGTGATAAGAGAAAATTAAGTCTACCATGGATTTCTGTGGCGTCACTGAATTTGTGTAGAGGATATTTGGATAGGAAGCAGGTTGAAATGAGATGTTGTGGGTTTGTTACGTGTTTGGTCTTTCACCCCAAAGACCAAACATGACCATTAATCCTGTGCTTTCTAATACTGAGTTATAATCTGCGTTGAATCTCAGAAACCTGACCATGAAGATTTTCCATCTCAAAGATAAAAAGCAATTAGAGTCTTTTTGCATACTTCTCATGATAGATCTCAGATCAGATGAGCATGATCTCATTAGTAATCATCTTGCATTTATCTTACTTTATACATTTTATGTTGAGATAAGGGCTTGAAAATATCTCTACAAGTGTTTATTTTAAATTTTTGCATTTCTAAAGCTGTGCATATGTAAATACTATGTTGTAGATGTTGTCAGTATGCCATTGCTCAATATGGTTCAGCATATATTTAAATGTGCAAAAATGCATGTGTAAATGTTAAATGCAAATATGTGTGAATTCTTTTTCATATTAGGCTGCTCTAATTGTTCTCAGGTTTGGCAAAATATCTAAGTCTGCAAACAAAACTAATTTTAATATTAACTATTTTGCTATCCACTAGGGTTGTAATGGTTCTGTGTAAAAAACAAACAAACAAAAAAAAACATAATAATAAAATAAACCGCACCATTTACCAATCTCGGTGCTGTACGCATTTGTACTGCGATTAATTACAGTTCTAACAATGCATATGAAGGAAAAGCCTCAGATAGACATTTGGAGTGACCACTTCCACTAATGCACGTCATCACAACCGCTAGGAACAAAGCATAGCAGATGATGTTTGTTTATCTCTGTGTATACTGTACCCAGAGGCAACAGCATTGTTAACGAATAGACTAAAAATTGAAAGCATTTAGTGGAATGCTCCTTTAAATGTAGCTGTTGTGTCATGTTATATGAATAAACATAAACAAAATGTATAATATGATTTTAAAGTAGTGTACACATTGTAGAACATACAACCATACATTTTTAAATATTGGTTCTTTAATAAATTATCCCTCGGTGTAGCATATTGATGCATATTGGGCCAAGCGATTAGTCAACAGAAGAGACAGACGGCTGCACGTGAGTGTTTTGCGTAATACTTGTTTATAGATCTGCTAAAAGCGTCTGCAAAATGACTAAATGTAAATGTAATGTAAATGATACAAGTGTTTTTTATGTTAAAATGTTTAATTCGTATTTAGTAATAGTAGAATATTCTATACAAAATAGTAGAATATTCTTGTTGAAATTACTAATTGCACATTAAAGGGATAGTTCACCCAAAAATGAAAATTTGATGTTTATCTGCTTACCCCCAGTTCACCACCACCCCATCCCGTTGCCCCCAAACTAAACCGTACTGAAACTGTAGCCCAAAATCACAATGTGAACCAAACCTTGAGAACCTTCAACCATTACAACCTTACTATCCATATACTGCATTGAGTGGAACACAG